TGAGAGAGAGAGAGAGCACGCATGTATGTAGTATGCTGTGTTTGTGTGTATATGTGTGTGTATGCGTGTGTGTGTGTGTGTGTGTGTATATGTGTGTATGTGTGTGTGTATGTGTGTATGTGTGTGTATGTGTGTGAGTGTGTATGTGTGTGTGTGTATATGTGTGTGTGTGTGTGTGACGTGTGAGTGTGTGACTGTGTGTGTGTGTGTGTGTGTGTGTGTGTGTGTGTGTGTGTGCGCGCGCGCGCGTGTGTGTGAGCAAGCAAGGGTATGTCTCGACACAGTGGAATCAATTTTGGGACATATATAGACGTATTGCTAGAATCTGAAACCTCGTTTATTTGCTTTACTTTGATGAAAAAAAAGCCAATCTTGAATAGAAGTCGATATATTTGTGATTGAAGGAAGTGGGGCTCGCCCAGTGTCATAGGTAAAACTAGCGAGAAAATGGCGTTATTTTGACGAGGGGCTGATTCTATCACGATGCGTCACATGTGTGTGTGTGTCTGTGTGTATGTGTGTATGTATGTGTATGTGTTTGTATGGGTGTATGTGTCTGTACATGTGTGTGTCTGTGTGTGCCTAAATGTACTGAAAGAAACACGTTACGAACAGCTGACACACGTCACAGACACATCTGACACACACGTTACAAACAGTTGACACATTTTACAAACAGTGGACACACGTTACAAACAGTTGACACACTTTACTACAGTGGACACACGTTACAAACAGTTGACACACTTTACACACAGTGGACACACGTCACAAACACATCTGACACACGTTACAAACAGTTGACACACGTTACAAACAGTTGACACACGTTACAAACAGTTGACACACTTTACAAACAGCTGACACACTTTACAAACAGTTGACACACGTTACAAACAGCTGACACACGTCGCAAGCAGCTGACTGCAGCCAGGAGACCGGGCCAAAGTGTGCTGTAAACGACGCAACATACCGTGTTTTCCCCGGCCATGATCTCCCATCTGACTCGCGTGGCCACCCAGTCTTGTTCAAGGTCACCGCCTGTCCGCCGGAAGTTGACTTCCATTCCCACCAGCAGGAGACGGTTCTGGTACATTCTCGTCTCTCCGAAGATCTGGAGGCGGTTAGGGTTAGGGTGAGGGTGAGGGTTAGGGTGAGGGTTAGGGCTAGCGGGCTGTGTTGATTAATGGGCAACGCTCAGCGTTCACAGTTCAGGGGACTTACAAGACTTCTACGTACTTCATGATATCTTGGGGACATACAAGACTTCTACATACTTCATGATATCTTGGGGACATACAAGACTTCTACATACTTCATGATATCTTGGGGACATACAAGACTTCTACATACGTCATGATATCTTGGGGACATACAAGACTTATACATACTTCATGATATCTTGGGGACATGCAAGACTTCTACATACATCATGATATCCTAGACCAAGACTTCTACATACATCATGATATCCTAGACCAAGGCTTCTACATACTTCATGATATTTTGGGGACATTCAAGACTTTTACATACTTCATGATATCCTTGACCAAGACTTCTACATACTTCATGATATCTTGGGGACATGCAAGACTTCTACATACTTCATGATATCTTGGACCAGCGTGGGGCAGCGAAGCCCCTAACCACTACACCACAGATACAAGTAAGGGTACTTAGCTGACAGGAAAGTTAAAGGAGAAGTAATCGATACTAGTACGGGTATTTGGCTGACAGGAAAGTTAAATGAGAAGTATTCGATACTAGTACGAGTACTTGGCTGACAGGAATGTTAAAGGAGTAGTCGATTCTAGTACGAGTACTTGGTTGACAGGAAAGTTAAAGGAGGAGTAGTCGATACTAGTACGGGTAATTGGTTGACAGGAAAGTTAAAGGAGGAGTAGTCGATACTAGTACGGGTACATGGCCGACAGCCAAAAAGAAGGAGTAGACAGAGTGGTGACGTCATGGCGCGCTCACCTGGAAGTGACACAAGTGGTCGGAGCTGAGCTGCTGAGTCGTGAAGCCCGTGAGTCGGAGGCGGCCGGGCAGAACTAGGTCAGCATCTCGCTGGTTGGTCCAGCCGGTCAGTCGACTGTTTGCCCCGGACACCGCCAGCACCTGGGAGCCTGGGGCGGGCGGGGTTTGGTTTGAGCCGGTTACCGTTGGGATTGCTGGGCTTAACTTTGCTACGGTTTGTTTTTCTCTTATTTATTACCTTTTTTTCTTAATGAACACCAATATAGTGACACTCAGTGACAGTGAGGACAATATCAGCACACCAATATAGTGACAGTGACAGTGAGGACAATATCAGCACACCAATATAGTGACAGTGAGGACAATATCAGCACACCAATATAGTGACAGGGACAGTGAGGACAATATCAGCACACCAATATAGTGACAGTGACAGTGAGGACAATGTCAGCACACCAATATAGTGACAGTGACAGTGAGGACAATATCAGCACACCAATATAGTGACAGTGAGGACAATATCAGCACACCAATATAGTGACAGTGACAGTGAGGACAATATCAGCACACCAATATAGTGACAGTGAGGACAATATCAGCACACCAATATAGTGACAGTGAGGACAATATCAGCACACCAATATAGTGACACTCAGTGACAGGACAATATCAGCACACCCCAGACCTCCCCCAACTGACCTCAAGCCCTCCCCCCTCCCGCCCCTAAAGCAAAACAAATACAAATAAATTACTTTACTTTTACTATCTTCTGGTATCCTTCGAATGTCGACGGGAGGTGCAAGTTTCGGTCCTGTCTAGCATCTACGTTTTGATTTCATTCTGTTGTGAATCCTGTATTTTTCACGTTTTTACACTCTGTGTGGGGGGCTCTCGTGGCCTAGAGGTTAAGGTGTTCGCCCCTCATTCAAAGGTCCCGGGTTCGAATCCGGGTAGCGACCAAAAAAATTTTCTTCTCTAAATGTGTCTCCTTTCACCTCCTTTCCTAATCTCTGGCAATGTTCTGTCGTCTGCTTTCGTCTCCTCTTTCTGCCCCCCACCCTTTCACCTCCTTTGCCCCTTCCTCCGGGCTCCTGATTCTTTCTGCAGCCTTTCTACTGCTACTCATTAGCTTCTTCTTACTGCTGTCTTTCAGCCACACCCCTGATCTTCTGGTAGGAAAGATCTACACCTAGCCTTCTCGGACAAGGGTGAAAAATCTCGGAGGTCCCGTGTGCAAGTTGTGCACGTTAAAGATCCCTTGGTGGTCTAAAATCGATAAGAGTAGGCTTCGGCCGCCACCCGGGCAAAATTCAAAATTTCCTACCAACTGAAAAAGTTTAGTGTGTCCCGCGCGCTCATATGACCTTATGCAGTTGCGAGCGCCGTAAAACACTTACAAAAACAAACAAACAAACAAACAAACACTCTGTGTGGCTACAAATGATATTCTGAATGCTTAAAACAGAGCCCAAGAAATTCTGGTGCTTTAGATGAAGTTACCTCTATCAACACATTGCTATGTATACGTTACCACAGAGAGGTGAAAGTTTGAAAATTATTGGCAACTTTTATTTTTATGGCAACTTTTGCCATTTTTGTGGCAACTTTTGGAACAAAAAAATGACCACAAACGCAGATGCTATTCCTGTGCTAGGTGTGTAGCGTCTGTGATAGATATAATATGTTGTTCCAGGACCTTTTTAACCCCATCTAGTCAGGTCTTTCTTGGTCTTCCTCTTGATTTAAAGCCGGATTCTCGGGTGTTGTAAGCTCTAGCCGCTAGTTGTTTCTGGGGCATTCTGGTTAGATGTCCAAACCATTTGACGCTCTATGAATTTTATTACTGGTGGTGTTCCAGTTTGTAGGCGTATGGTTTCCTTTCTCATGATGGCTCTTCTCGTGACGTTGATGGTTTTTCGGAGACACCTCATTTCCCATGCTTTGATTTTTCTTTCTTGTGCCTTGTTTAGAGACCATGCTTGGCACTGGTATGTTCATGTTGGTATGAAGATGCTGTTGATAAGGTGGGATTGCACTTCGGTTGGGATGTTCTTGTGACTGAGCAGGGGTGCTAGCTGGCAGGTCACTGCATTTGCTTTCATAGTTCTTGTTTCTATTTCTTTGTCCATACGGCCATCTTGTGAGAGGATGCTTCCCAATATTTAAGTTCCTCTACTTGTTGGAGCTGTATTCCGTCAATTAGAATGTTGAGTTTCCCGTAGTTTCTGCAGACCTTCTTAACTTCTGTATTTGAGATTGAGATTGCCATGTTCAGGTGTTTACTTTCCTCATTTATTTTTGTGGTGTGTTTTTGTAATTACTCTTCATGTGTATTTGATGTACTCTGGTCATGGAGAGAAACGAAGAGAGAACACACCCTTGTCTCACCCCACACCTGATGGGGAACCAGTCCGAGAATCCTTCTCTTGATCTTACGGCTTTTCCAAAGTGCCATGATGTTCTCCAGCAATTGTCCTCTTACACCACATACCTCTAAAACTTCCCAAAGTTGACATCTATCTACCCGGTCAAACGCCTTTTCCTGATCCACGAAGACGATATTGAGGTCATTGTTATGTCCAATGGCAGACCCACACAACAGTCTTAATGCAAAAATAGCGCCAGTACAGCCCCTGCCTTTTCAGAAGCCAAACTGGGATTCACTGAGTTGAGGGGGAAAAATAGTGACTCTAAAACCAACAAACCAACAAACCAAAATAACAAAAACAAACAACAACAAATACAAAAAAGAACAACAAAACAACAACAAAAACCACAAAAAGAAAAGCACCACCAACAAAAACATTGACAACAGCGGTATCAGCATCACTTCTTGCACCACTTCCTTCATTGTTCAAAACATTGACAACAGCGGTATCAGCATCACTTCTTGCACCACTTCCTGCATTGTTCAAAACATTGACAACAGCAACAACAGCAACAACAACAACAACAACAACAACAACAACAACAACAACAACAACAACAACACAACCTACCTGGCAGGTAACAAAAAAGCTCTGGGTCCCCCTGTTCCCCTTCCGGACACTGACACGTACCTTGGGACACACAGTCGGCTGTGGGACAAGACACATATATATTGGTCACGTGGGACAAGACACATGTATATTGGTCACGTGGGACAAGACACATGTATACTGGTCACGTGGGACAAGACACATGTATACTGGTCACGTGAGGCATACAGTCGACACGTGAGACAAGGCACATATATTCTGGTCACGTGGGACAAGACACCTATATACTGGTCACGTGGGACACACAGTCGGCTGTGGGACAAGACACATTTATACTGGTCACGTGGGACAAGACACATATATACTGGTCACGTGGGACAAGACACATATCTGCTGGTCACGTGGGGCATACAGTCGACACGTGAGACAAGGTACATACGGTTGTCACGTGGGACAAGACACATACAGTTGTCACGTGGGACAAGACACATACCGTTGTCACGTGGGACACCCACATCTATAGAATCCCGGCGATAAGCCGTCACGTCCACAAGCTTTGCCTGATTTAAAATGATTTAAAGCCAATAATAATAATAGTGGCAATACATGTAATTATAATTTTAATAATAATGATAATTATAATAATAATAAGGATGTTGATGTTGATGATGATGATGATGATAACAGCAATAACAGGAATACCAATAAGAATACGTAATGTAATGTCATTCAACACACATCCGCGCTCGCCAGCGTACTATTTACGCTTTACAACGGTCTGTCTGTCTGTCTGTCTATCTGTCTGTCTGTCTGTCTGTCTATCTGTCTGTCTGTCTGTCTGTCTGTCTGTCTGTCTGTCTGTCTGTCTGTCTGTCTGTCTGTCTAACTACCAGACTATCTACATGTTATGTATGTTTGCCAACCTGAGTTTCTGTCTGCCTATCTCCCCAACCATGCAAAAGACATCCCCTCCCTCTCCTCCCTCCCTCCCTCCTTCCCCTCCCTCCCTTTCCTCCCCTCCCCTCTCCTCCTCTCCCCTGCTTTGTGGAAAAAAAAGTATGATAAATCAGCAAAGGAAAATGTAAGTGTTGGAACAAAAATGTGACAAGCAAAACTGCCCACAGCTCAAATTTCATGACAAAATCAATTGAACGCCTGTCGAGTCGCCAAGACCAAGTTTCTGTGGCTATCTGTGTCCTCCAAGTGTCTGTGTCATTGATCGTGCGTCGTGTTGTCGTGAGCTGCTAACTTGTCTTGTTGCAGTTGTTGCCCCTGGTCTGAAGAGGTTCCTTGGTGCTTTTCTGTTTGTTCGTTTGGTAAGAGAGACAGACAGACAGGGGGTACATTTTTTGCAATGCACTTGCAGTATTTTAATTATTATTTTTTTTGTTTTGTTTTGTTTGTTTGTTTGTTTGTTTGTTGTTGTTGTTGTTTTTTTTGGGGGGGTCATTATCGTATAATGTGAATGTCAGCAAAGAGAGAAACAACAACAACATTGGTGATTTAAGTGGGGGGG